CTCGATCGTGTGTCTTCTTTACCAATAGAAATACCTGGAATGCGAACATTCTATTTCATTTGTATTCCATTAGCCTTTCGTGTGTAAGAAGCCGACGTAATGCTGGTTTACTGAGCATGAACATTTACAGGTTTATTTGTCCTTAAATAAATTGTTTTTTTTTCAACGAAGCTGATATCTGAATTGCCAGAGGGTAGTCTGGCCCACTGTACCTCGACTCCTATCGATCCACCGCCTACGAGCGCTGCTTGCGCTCTCCGTCTTATAGGGTGGTATCGTTCTTAGCCAAGAACGCACGCCGCCGACACCGTGATAAGCAACATGTTGCACATGTGTTTCCGTTTCTCCGTTGTTCGTGGTAATAGACTCTTGCACTTTTGCGCCAACACAGACAGATCTAGAAACTGTTCTGACAATCAACCTTAGCTGTTTTTCAGCGCCAGCCTCAGCGCTCGCCCTTATTAAAAGTGGAATTAGTAGAAGGAAGTGTCTACAGACTTGTTTTTCTGCATATAAAACATGCAAGCTACCTGCTAAACAAATGTTTATCAAAGAAGGAATATTTTAATTCGAGTAAAGTTAAACTGAACAACGCATCGATTTTTAATGGCGTTAGCAGCTATTTCTGTCTCATTGAAAAAAGAAAAACAATTCCCTTTCATACAGTAGAACTTCCTACGTAATTATTCACTATACCGGCAGCACAGGTACAAGCCCAGGCACATGTTTCACGGGTTTTCTGCCGCTGCTTGATACAGCTGCGAGGAGTCCGGCTCATTAGTGGGTCTCCCAGAATTCCTTGTGTGCTTTGCGGCAGATAATCCAGTTATTTATATCAAATTTTGGTCTTCACCTTTGAATTCTTGAATACAGGGATTTAATCCGAGTTAGAAAAGTAATTTCTGAGGAAACCTGAAAGCCGAAAAAAGATTGAACCTTCTCTTTGCCGGGCGTTTCTCCCAGCGCGAACACTACATCGCATTACTACGGCTTCTGACCGGTTCATCAAACATCTGCCAGCCTCTTTCTTTTGCTGTTATTTTGAGCAAGCCTTCCCAACATTCCCCTAGCTATTTAAATTCATTCGTATACACCTGAGACAAAGTAAACCAGCAAGCCCTATATCGTACCCCTTCTTCCTTTTTTAGATGGTTACACAAAAGCCTATCCGACTCTGTCAGTGGAACCGCCGGTTATGCGTCTGGTCTCCCCTACAACTCTCTTATCTCTCGGTCTTCAGCTGTTGCTTGTGATTCTCGCCCAAGTTGCCTCATTTGTCTACGTTCGCAGCCAAAACTGGTATTACTGCTTTGAGAGCCTTGCTAACACACCATGCTCAACTTCTAGGGGGTTTTAATTCTATTAAGCATCT